ATGGGGGGAACTGGGAGGGAGGTATCGATAACGCCCAAATCAAGTTTACCCCCATCAAGTTTTTCTGACCTATGGGATCCATCCAGATTTATGATTTACCCAGTGAAAGTGTGTGATTTACGGCGAATCCCTCCCCCCCCACTCCCCGGGCGCTCCGGGTGTGCCGGGCAGGGAAAACTCACAACTAAAACTGCCTTGTCCCCAAACGCCACCTCCAGCCGCCACCACCCGAAGGTCTCTCTCCGTGATGTCCGTGATGGACAAGTCTTCTCCTTCCTGTCGTCTCATGCCATCATCTCATGCAGCCTCCAGCCTGGGCTGTACGGGGGGGATTGCTGCAGAGGCCGTTTAGAGGGGCCACGCTGCTCTCCTGTGAAAGGTTAACGCGGGTTTGTAAAAAAAAAAAAATCACTTTTTTTCCCTTTTTTATCTTTTTTCTTTTTTTTCTCTTTTTTTTCCCTTTTTTTCTCGTTTTTTTTTTCTCGTTTTTTTTTCCCTTTTTTTTTCCTTTTTTCCAGGAGCGGGAACGCTCCGTATTTCGGAGCTCTTCCCCCTCCGGGGCTGTATCCCGGAGCAGCGGCCCCCAGGATGCGGGACGATGCGGGGAAACCTCTCAAGCTCCGGCGGGTCCCTTCGCCCTCCCCCTGCGCGCCCCTACGCGGGAGCGGGAGCTTCGCCGCGCCGTAATTCATTAACGGGGATGAATTGCCAGACGTGGCCCCGAGCTGGTGAGGATGAGCCAGTGATTATATTTAAATTCGCTATAATTGATTTGGGGAAGAGCTGCGGTGACAAGGATGAATTGATCGGCAAATTTATTGGCGAGATAAATCCCGCAGTTATCGAAAAGCCCGCGTTTCGCTGCCGGGGCGGCCGTGGGGCTGGGTCCTCTCTCCGGTACCGGGGAGGGCACGGAGCCCCTCGCCCCTTTCCACCCGCCCTTGGAAACCAGCGCTGCTCCCCCATTTCCTACACTGGGGGGTAATGGGGGGGATGCCAAGGTGTGTCCACCCCCCCCCACCCCGGGTCGCCACCGCTTCCCCGTTACCGGTGGGACACTCAGCTCCGCTGCCGAGGGGGCTGGAAAGGAACAAAACGAGCCCCGGAGGGGGAACCCGTCTTGATTCCCCCCCCCCGTATCCAGGTGCTCACCCCCGTGTCACATATTGCACGACGGCTGCGGCACTGAACTGAATTTGGGTTAAAAACCGGTTCCCCGACTCCTTCGGCACCTCCCGGAGCACCGGGAGCCCCCGGCCCGGGGGACCCCAGCGTGTCCCCCCCCCAGCCCCCGCCCCACAGAGCGCTCATACAGCTCAAGTACAAAACGCCGTTTATTTTCCACCTCCTCGCACGAGGTGGGAGGGCCTGGGGAATAATTTAGCATGCATAAGTAGAAGTAACTTTTTTTTTTTATATTTATATATATATATAAATACAATATACAAAAATAAACACAGTATTGAGATTTCCAGCAGTTTTAACGGTCATGACATAAACAGTTTTCCCAATATATAGTAAGAACAAAACATTTCCAATACTCAGCGAAAGGAGCAACGCTTCCAGGGGGCAGGGATGGAGGCGGGGGGGCGGGGGGAAGGGGGGAGGCAGCTCAAGTTTTGTCTGATTTTCAGTCAATAATAATACTGTATTCACCGTCAATCCTCTTCCCCGCCCGGCATGCGGGGGACCCTCTTCTCCGTCCCCCTCCAAAGAAGGGAGAAATCGGAACGAAGGGGGGGGGGCATCGGGGTCGGTGCCGACCGGGAGCGGCGGGGCTTCCCCCCCCCCACTCGGAGGGGCTGGAAGAGCCCTCGGGGTGTGCGGGGGGGTCTCACTGGGGCTGTGCCGGGGCTCCGTGCCGGCCCCGGGGCTGAGCGTCCTCCTCATCCACCTCGGAGCAGTCGGAGGAGTGGTAGGGGCAGCATCTCCCGATTGCAGCCGCCGTCGCCTCTTCTGCCTCCTCCTCCTCTTCCTCGTCCTCCGGTTCGCTGTCGGGCAGGTCCCGCATCCTCCTCCCGCTGCTCTTCTCCGGGGGTGGCGGCAGCAGCAGGTCCTCGTCCCCTTTGTCCTCCCCGCTGCCCCCCTTTTGCTTCTCGGCCTCCTGCGCCGCCTGCTCCTTCGCCTTCTTGCTGCGCTTCCACTTCATGCGCCGGTTTTGGAACCAGATCTTCACCTGGGGAAGGACGGACACACAGACACTGCCTCAGCCACCGCCCCCGGGGAAGGACGGACACACAGACACTGCCTCAGCCACCATCCTCACCTCCAGCCCCGGCAGCATCCCCCCCTCGCCGGGCCGGGCCCACTCACCTGCGTCTCGGTGAGCATCAGGGACGTGGCCACCTCGAAGCGCTTGGGTCTGGAGAGGTACTTGTTGAGCTTGAACTGGTGCTCCAGCTCCAGCAGCTGCTGGCTGGTGAAGGCCGTGCGGGGCCGGCGGCACTTCCCCAGCAGGTTGGACTGTGCCTGGGCTGGGGAAGGAGAGGAGAGACAGAGGTGAGCCCCCCCCCTACATCCCTCCGCCGCGATCGGGCATCCCCCTGTACGGGGGTGGGAAGGGGGGGATGGAGAAAAGACGGTGAGGGGAAGATTGAGGCAAGGATGGAGAGTTATCCACCGGAGCACCCCTCCCAAGGAGGGATCTCGCCCAGCCCCTCCGGCTCCGGGGTTTCTCGGCTCCGCACAGCATCGAGGGATCCCCCATAGGGACCAAAAATAAAAAAATTAAATTAAATCTTTTAAAGAAAGAAAAAAAAAAGTCACTTGATTTCCCAAGAGCCTAACAAGTGCGAGACAATAAAACGGATGGCGGCGCAGGCGGACGGGGCTCTCCGGGGAGCAGCAATTCGCTCCGTTTAATGCTTTAGTTAAAGCTGCCGCACTCCCGACCCCCCGGCTTTCATTCAGGGATTGGAGTTGGACACCCCCCCGCCGGGAACCGCCAGGCACCGGCCGCCCGTCCGGGCGTCAATCAGCAGCCAGGGGCAGAACACGGTCTTTGAACGAAAAAAAAAAATAAAAAAATTGCCGTAGTTTCCGCATTCAGAAATAATAATGAAAATCGAGGATTTGTAGTAACAAAAATTAAATAAAGAGAGCCGGTGGTGGGCAAGGGGGGAGGACACCGCGGGGAGGGGGGGCACTGAGCCCCTTCGCGGGGCCCGAAAACCACCGGGGGATGCGAAGCGGCCGCGCTCCCGCCCGTTTCTCGAAGCATTTTGGCTTATTTAGTTTAGAAAAACAAACCAAAAAAATAAATCGGAAAACGAGGAAGGGGCTGCCCTGGCTCCCCGGCCGCCTATGGAGCCCGCTCGCTGACGGGGGCAGCCAGAGCAAAGGGCAGCGCCCGCCCCCGGCCCCCAGCGCCCGGGAGATTTTCTCACCGCCGTGCGATTTTCCGAGGCTCCATTCTCGTTTCTCTCCGGTTATTTATCCCCCCCCGCACCTTGTTTGAGGGGCAGAGCTCTGACAACTCTCCTAATTATTTTTTTTTTTTTCTTCCTGACCGTTCCAGTCCAAACGGCCCCAATTCGAGAGAAAACAATGGACTTTTTTGTCTGCGAACGCGTGTGCGGAGTATGAGATGGGGGAAAAAAAAATGAAGAAAAAAAAATAATAATCGCAATTCCTTTCCTGGCGTGATTTTCGTAAAAGTACACCTCCGGTACTGTTAAATCGGCCATTCCCACCGAGAGCTCACACCTCCGAAAATGATCTTTGCCTGAACCAGATGCGTAGAGGGTCCCCGTCTCCCTGAGGCCTAGTGCTCGGCACCGCGCCTTCCCCGGGAATGCGGGAATCTCCGCTGTAACGCGGCGTTTCCAGCTTCCCCTCATCCCGCACCTCAGCTGCTCCCACTCTATTCCATATGTATTCCTTATCCCCCGGCAACGCGGCACCCCACATTTTTTTGCTCCCCCCGGATCCGCACCCGTTCACCCGGAGGATTCCGCCGTAATTATTATAAGCTCATTTCCGATAAAAGAGAAATCAATTTAAGGACGGGGGCTGGGACCTGCCGCCTCGCTTTTAGTGGTGGGGATGTACCGGGACTGGGTTTTGGGGGAGACCGTGGTGGCCCCTGCCCTGTCGCCACCGGCCCTCGGTGGCTTCTGCGCCCCGTGGGCGGCGGGAAAGGGCGTTCGCAACGTCAGGAACCGATTCGCCGCTTTTCCGTGAAAAACCGGGCTGTGCGGGGCCGGGAACGGCGAGGCGACCCGCACAGCCCCGCTCCCCGTTGGGGATCACGGTTTCCTCCTAGTAAAAGTCAAAAATTCGAAATCACCGCCTGGTTTAAACCCGCAGCTCATTGACGGGGGGGGTGGGGGGTGTTTTTTCACTCTGGGAAGGAGACAGCTCCCGGTAAGACCCCCCCCGGACCGGGATGATGGGGGCCGGGAGGGGAGGGATGCGGCCGGCGGGGCAGCGGGAGGCGAATACTCACAGTTGAAGTCGGGCATTTTGGGGAGGATCATGCCGGCGGTGGAGGCTCGTAGCCACTGGTCCAGCTGGAAGGTGCCGGCGCTGAGCTTGATGGGGTCGGCGGCGGGGTGGGATGGATGAGCCCCCTGCACTTGCGAGTAGGAGTAGGAGAGAGCCGGGTGCTGCCCGCCCAGCGCCGAGTACCCGTACACCGGGTGCCCGTAGAGAGCCGCCTGCGCCGGCATTCCCGGCCCGCCGGGCGCCGCGGGGTGCAGTCCCAGGGCCATACCGGCCGCCGAGGCGTGGTGATGCGGATGGGGACCGGCGCCGGTACCGGCCAAAAAGCCCGGTTTGGGAACCAGGGCGCAGTGGGCGGCCAGGAGGCGCGGCGGAGAGGGGCTGTCGGTGCGCAGGCAGTCGGCGGGGCCGCCGGCGGGATGCTCGGAGGAAGAGGATGAAGAGGAGGAGGATGATGATGAGGAAGAAGAGGAGGAGGAGGACGGGGGGCTGCCGCTCCCGCTGCTGCTACTGCCGCTGCCGCCCAGCGAGGTGACCAGGGCCAGCGGCGCCGTCTGCCCCGCCGCCACCGCTGCCTTGGGGGGGTCGACAGCCAGCAGAGCGTCGATGCGGAAATTTTTGGATTTTTCCATGGGAGCGCCGGTCGGGCTGGGGAACGGGGGAAGGGAGAGGAAAAAAGAAAGGAAGGGAAGGGGAGGGGGGGGGAACGGCGGCGGTTCAGGCGGCCCCAGGGCCGGCCGCGTCTCCCGGCGGCGGCGGCGGGCGGCAGTGCGGCCCCGCTCCCCGGCGCGCCCCTTCAAGGGCCGCAGGCGGCTCCCCATTGGTCCGGCCGGGCTGCGGCCTCGCTCGCCATTGGTCCCGCCGCCCACCTGTCATGGCGGAGCGACCCGCCCCCTCCTTCCCTCCCACCCCCGGGGGACTCCGGAGCGGCGGGGGGTCAGCGCCGGAGGCGGGGAGGGGGGACACACACACACGACGTGGGGACTGTCCGGTGGACGGGCGGGGAAGCGGCTCCGAGCCGCGGGGAGAGTCCTATGTGTCCCCCCAGCTCCTAAGTCCCCCCCGGCCCCGGTGGCTCCCACCGCCGCCGTGCCCGCGCCCGGCAAATATTTGCCGTAAACGCGCCGCCGGCCGCTTTTTAACGGGTCGGAAAGAATAAACACCTGTGGGTCAGGGAGTCACGCCTGCCACCCACCCCCCCGGGTTTGTCAACAACGTTATTAGACCCGCTTATCTACGGCAAACAGGCCCGAACAGAAAAACGGGAAAGAGCGGGGCGAGGGGTCGCTCCTGCGCCGGGGTCCCGTTCCCCCCGGGGGGGATATAGGGGGGCGGCGGGGACTCCGCAGAGGCGGTGTGAGCGGAAGGTCAGGCTGCCAAGGTAAACACGCTCTCCCCTCGAAAAGCCTTTGGCAGCCCCCGGGAGAAGGCGCTGGGATGCGGGAAGCGCCCGTGTCACGGTACCGCTACCGTGTGTCCCCCCCGCAGCCCCGGGAGGGGCCGCTTCGCACCCCGGTGTCACGGCGAGAAGGGTGCGCTGCCCGCCTGCCCCCCGTCCATTGCGCTTGGAAAAATTAAAGCGATTAAAAGGGAGGAGGAAAAGGGGGAAAGAAAGGGAGAGGGTGGGAAAAAAAATAAAGAAAAAAGGGCAAAGAAAAACATCCGACAACTTCGCTCCCGGTGCCCCGCTCGCCGCTGCTCCCGGGGGCGGAAGGGCCAGAGCACCCCTGCGGGCGTGTGTGCACACGCACAGACACGCACACGCACAAACATGCACGCGCACACACGCGCAAAGACACGCACCCTTTGCTCCGTGCCCCGGTACCCCCTTCTCTCCTGCACCGACTGTTTTTTTCTTGACCCGCCCCCCCCCGATTGCAGCCTCCGGACACGCTCACTCACGCAGAGCAGACGGACAGACAGACACAAGAAGGGACAGACACCAGAGGCGCCCGTACAGCCGTGGCAGGACCGCGCACACGCGTGGCACAGCGGAGCCCCCCGCACCCAGAAAACACCCGCACCCTGCTGTCCCCCCACCAGCGCGCAGCCACGGGCGGAGCAGACGGTCCCGCACCGCAGCCGCCCCCGCACAGGCAACGGGGACACGCACCCGGGGCACAGCCCGCGCCCGGCAGACGCACAGAGGCGCCCGTACAGCCGTGGCAGGACCGCGCACACTCGTGGCACAGCGGAGCCCCCCGCACCCAGAAAACACCCGCACCCTGCTGTCCCCCCACCAGCGCGCAGCCACGGGCGGAGCAGACGGTCCCGCACCGCAGCCGCCCCCGCACAGGCAACGGGGACACGCACCCGGGGCACAGCCCGCGGGCGCTGCGGGGACGGCGGGGACACACAAGACCCCCCGCTCCTCCGGGCTGCGGGGGAGGAGAGGGATACAGGGTCGCAGGATGGTTTTTATGAACCGGTTGGGTTTTGCCGGGGCCACCGGCGGGCTCCGAGGGGCCGGGGCGGCCCCAGGGACCGGGCCCCGAGGTGCGCGGGGGCTGTCCCGGGCACTGCCGCCTTCCGCCGGGGGGACAGGAGCGGGACAGTCCCACGGCAGAGTGTCCCCCCGGCAGGGGCTTGTCCACACGACCGACCCCGGAGACTGGCGGGGGGGATATTGGACCCGCACCCGCCTCCTCCATCCCCGCATCCCGGCAGGGCCGAGGGTCACCACCCTTCAATGGGTTGTGGGACGCCCAGCCCGCTGGAAACGGGGACGCGACTGTCACCGGGCAGAGCCGGTGCCAGCTCCCGGTGTCCGGGCCGTCGGTCGTTCCCCACACACGGAGACCGCTTTGGGCCCCTTCTCGGTGCGATTTGGGAGAGGAGGGAGCGGAGCTGCAGAGGAAATCACCCCGTGGGCTGCGCTCAGGACACGGGTGGGGACGCGCGTCCGCGGCCGGGGGGGATGCGCGGCTCCCGGTGTGACCGGGGCCACGAACGTTTCTCCAGTGGGGTGGAAGGTGCAGCCGTCTGGCGGGGGGTGAGAGCCAGGGCCGCATGACCCCCCTCATCGCTCCCAGGCTGCCCTCCCGCCCGGGGGGCAATAGTCAGTGCTTAGAGAAGGATTTCGATTTTCAGTTTTTGTGGGGTTTTTTTTTGGTTTTGTTTTGTTTTTTTAATCGAGTACAATTCCCCCCATCTTTTCTTTTTTCTTCTCTTTTATCTTTTATTAATTTTCTCTTTTTTTCCTTTCTTTTTTCTTCTCCCCCACTTTTGTTTTGTGGCAAGCTGTTCCATTTAGCAGGTGTTATAGAAAGGGGGAAGAGAGATTGGTAGTAGATTTTTTTCTTTTTCTTTTTTTTTTGTTCTTTTAAAATTATTGTCATTTTTTCTTCCCTCCCCTCTCCATTCCGTGTGTTTTCCCCTCCCCTTCCCCTCCATCTCCAGGTGCCGCAGGGCACCCGGGCCGCCTGAACTCCCCGCCGCTCCCGCACCTGTGTTGATCCAATATATTGCCCGGGAGCCAACAATGCGCGGTTATCTCGGCGGAGATAGCGCAGGGAACCGCGCTACCCCCGACACCTCCGGGTGGTCCCCTTTACACAGCAGAGCCCCCGCTCCCCCGGCCGTGGGCAAACAGATGCGTATCTCGCCTTTTGAAAAGCTGGGGGGGGATGAAGGGGGGGGGTGGTTCACTCCGGGGGCGGCGTGGGGTGAACCCCGGGCTGCCCAGGGGGAACGCCGGAGCTCCCGGAGCCCTGCGGTGTGTGTGCGGGGGTCTTAATTCCTCCTAATTAACCCCCCCGCCCCGTCCCGGTGTCCCCCCGCCGGCCGGTCTCTCCAAAGCCGTTAGGAACCTCAGGCGCGGGGCCAGCGTTATTGCCAAAAACAGATATTACACTGCGACATTCTGTAAATGAGATAATGATACATAAACCTCCCTGATAAATGTGACATCCTCGGGATGTCTCCTCTAAATTAGCCGCTTGCATTGACTGCTAATAATGGTGAGTTTATGAAAGCAATTTCAGTGCAAAAAGCACAGGGTCTTCTCGGTCTAATCAGCCTGCCTCTCTTAATGGATGAGGGGGTCAGGCGGAGAATTATTGACACTCTGCTGCCCTTAACCTGTTTCCCAATAAAGCTGATTAGTTTTTGTCAATTCATCAGCTAACCACTCTCGCCGGGACTGCATCAAAGCCTTATTTGCTCAGGGGAAATCAACAAGTCACAGATCAGATCCATTACGGAGCGGCTCCGGCTGCGGGCGGCTCCCGGGGCCGGGGGGCTGCTCCCACAGCCGGGGGGAGTCGCCCCAGGCATGGGGGGGGGCTCTTCTGGGGAGAAAATGAACCCCTCCCGGTACTCAGGTTGGCACAAACAGCGCCAGGGATTTGGAAAACGCATATGTGTTGTCAAACTTTTTTTTTTTCTTTTTCTTTCGGCCAGGAAAAGAGACGGGGATGCCGGGCACAAACGCGGCTGGGTCCGCACCAGCGCAATGTCCTGTCTGGGTGCTCGGAGTGGGGGGGTGGTCTCTGCACCTCCCCTCCCAGGAAAAGAACATTTAATGCACTCCCAGCCTGGTCCTGGAGAGAAGGGTCGGTCTGCAAACGGGCTGCTAAAAACCTTTCTTCACCCCAAACCCCCGCCCTCGGGGAAAAAGCTCTCCCTGCATTAGGACGCCAGGATTTTTTTATTATTTTTTTTTTTCCCTACAAACCATCTTTCAAAGTTTTGTTCCTCGTTAGACTTTCTCTCTCTTCAGATAACGGCGAGCGAAAATTTTAATTTTAGTTCTCCTGCTGCCGCGATCCCCGCGTCGGGCGCGGTTTGTCTGGAAGAACGAAAGCTCTGACAGTTTGGGCTCATCCAGAGGAAAACAACAAAAAGGCCACCAAATGTGCGCTGCCCCTTTAAGCCCCGACCGACAGCCTCTCAGTCCACCCCCCTTCAATTTAATTTCATTAAAACAGAGCATGAATATTTCTATTAAACCTAAAATGAAATATGAAGCCATTTAGACTCTGCCTGCACCAATCACCCAGATTTATGACTTTTATTCATCACATCAAGAGCTGGGAAAAATGAATTTTCTTCACCCAGGAAGGAAATAAAAACCCTGCCTTGGTCATTTCCAGAAAGCTGTTAATTTGCCCGTGTGGTAATTACTTTCACAATTAACTAAAATACAAATCAACCTGACAAATTGGGTTAGTTTATATATTAATTAGCCGGTTTAAATTTATTCATTATGAAAAGACAATTTAAGAGGACCCCGGGTGTCTGTTTTATCGCAATAAATTATTGTTAGGAAATGGGGGCTAATAAAATATCACAATATTTGAGGGCACCGCGCAGGCGGGGAGCTGCCTCTGCGCCGCCGGCGCTGGGGGGGGGGGCTTCCGCGGGCGCGGGGCCGGAGCGCGGCTCTCCGCGGGGGCCGAGGCCGGAATGGTGTCCCGCAGGAGGGGGAGGGGGCCGAGGCCGTGTCCCCCCCCTCCAGCTGCGCTGATTTAGCGCTCCGTCGATAGGATCATTCGATGCCTTTTAGCTTGTGATCTTTATAAATGTCCCGCTATTAAATTAGAAAATGATTCTCTCCTCGTTTAATTGTATTCTTTCGTTTCTTATTCCCAATTAATTAGTCCTATCGACGTTGCAATATTTTAAATGACTG